AGTAAAAAAGCAATCTCCTGTCTTTTCCTCTGCCCACACCTTCCCTCTTCTTCTTCTTCTTCCCCGTTGGATAATCCGACCCTGCGCATGTCATTCTAGTGAAAAAGCATTGTCCTATCTTTTCCTTTACGCCACCCTTTCCTTCTTCTTCTTCTTCCCCGTGCTCTTATCCTTAGATAATCCAACCTTCGCCTCCACCTGATTAATGATTTCTAACGACCAAAGCAGGACTTCTCCGACTCCGCTTTCGGTAAGCTCTAACTTTACTTTTTCATTCCATAACTTTGATTTTTGGAAAAATAGAATAAGGAGGGTGTAGTCAAATTATGATTTTATAAGATTTTGATAAATTTTAGAGAGGAAACTATAAATAGAAAATGACTTAAACAATCTAACATTTTATTTCAGGGCCAAAGAGTTCTATCTACAGTAGTCTTTCTCCATTTTTTGCCCTGCATGAGATCCCTATTTCCCTAACTTCCTTTCGCCACCCTTCATCCCTCCCTGAGACCCACCCACTGTGACCGTAGTTTGCTCATCTATTTTCTAAATTTTTATGGGTTGAGTAGGTGGCTGTGTGCCAAGCAAGAACAAATCACCAATGGCGCTTCCGATCATGATCTCCCAAACCTAAAACCAATGGCCTTGTTTCAGACCAGAATTAATCCAACCCACACAAAAACAAAACCCAATTGATATTGGGCTCCCACAGCAAGAACAAGCACAAAGGAAGTTGAGGATTTTCATGGTGTTTTACTCAATGTATGGGCATGTGGAGATTTTGGCCTAGAGGATAAAGAAAATGGTCGATTCCATTGATGGGGTTGAAGGGTTTTCGTTCCAAATTGCTTCAAATAGAGGAAGATAAGGCTTTCTCAGTGAAAGAGTTAAGGGATAGTGAAGATTTTTGGCCAATACTGGAATGAAAGCTAGTGGAAAAGTTATCCCTCTTTGCATATTTTGGTACTTCAGATTTGAGTAATGTGAATTTTTTATTTATGTGATGTTACTTGGGCTCCACATCTAGAGATGTATGTGTTATACATCTTCATATACACCATTTACTAGAGTGTTTTTCATTATTTATTGGTTTTTCATTGCTATGTGTAAATTGCAAGAACGAAATTGGTATCCATATGCCTTGTAATACAAATAGTGGTCGGTGACTTTGCAAGTTTATAGAATGTAATACAAAAATAAACAGGTTGATTGACTTTTGCAAGAACAATTTATAAATTTTGTGCCACATATCCTTGCAAGTTTAAAAGCTTTAGAGGTTTGTATTAATTTTTATTTTGTTTTACTTTTATTTTTGTTATATATTTATAATATTGTGGTGTGCATTGTTGGCATTTTGATACTTAAAGAACTTGATCAACCAGATCACTATACTACATTCATATATTATATCGTTGTTAACATATATTATTAATATACAAATAAAAGAAGCAAAACTTACTTGCAGGATTAGCCATAAGATCCAAACAACCAACACAAACTCTAATGAACGAATTGTAAAGTTGTTGGGGCAAAACCTTTGCAGTGATCTTTGATAGGATCATACTTGATAAAAAGGAAATTGCAAGAAAGTAAATGTTGAAATGGAAAATAAATTAAAGTAAATTCATATATTATTCATAATCCTCTTTACATACGAAAAGAAGTTTAAATACATTGAAGGATAGTAAGATTTAAGGTGTAGATGGACCTAATGGATAATAATAACAATATGTGGTCTAACTAGTCATGACTGAAGCCTAATAGCATAGAGTCACATCAATCTTCTCTTCTCTAGGACTCAGAATAGTTTCACTCTTGATAGAGCTAGTGCATATAAACCTCATGTTTGAGAAGATAAGACCATACAGTTTTGTTTACGTGAGATCACAACTACTCCTCTTATCATGGTAGCAATTGTGTTTGCAATTTTAAGAGTTTGTAACCAACTCTTATTCCATTATCTTTAGTTCTAATAATTTCCCTCTTGTGTATTTTATCATGATTAAAATACTAGTGAGTCCATCATTAATATAAGTCTAAATAGTCCTCATAACATATTCAATATCATGGTTTTATTATAACTCACATTACTTTGAAAACGCACAATTTTTCAGGAAAAAGAATCAGCACAACAATTAGAAATTGATAGATTGAAGCAAGAGAGAGATGTGATGAGGCTCAAGGTATTGTTTGCATGCTTGGAAATGAATTAGCTCCATTGGTCTATAGATATATAAAATAACATCTATGATTTACGTGTAGGTGCCACATGACTGGGATGGCAAGGGAGAAATCATGGACCAAAGAGTGAGGCACTTTGAGGAGCTGGAACGTTTGACCGAAAGTGTTACATTAGTAGCCCAAAGAGTGAAGTCGATTAAGATTGGTATTGGATTCATTTTACTTTTGTTTTGCTTTTATTATTTTTTGAGAAAATTAAAATCCCCCCTCATCTTAAAAGGAATATATATTTAATTTAAATGTTAAATACTAAGGCATTTACTTCAAAACGTTTTATTTATTTATTTATTTTTGTTATGAGCATGGTTTTCCAGGAAAGAGAATACACACTGAAGCATGATTTAGATGCTTCAAATGAAAAACTGAAGATGGAACAGAAAAGAATCGTGCTTGAAGGAGAAAACCTCAGAAAAAAAAACTCCATAACACTATTACGGTAAGTTTTTTTATTAGCACTTCACACTTTGTTAAATGCACCCCACATATTGTTTTATTATTAAATAATTTAACACTCTAATATAAAATAACTATTTAGATCCCATAAATTTTCTAATATAAGTTATTTTATTTATACACCCTATGTAGAGCCCAACCCAAAAAACTAGTCCAACAAGTGAGAGGACCCCAAGGACTTAAGAATCCCTACACCCTCATAAGTGTAGTTGATGTGGGATCATAACATTACACCACCCTTCGGAAGCCGACACCCACGGCGGCCCTTATTCTGGTGGCTTTCACTCTTAACGGCGGCGCACCCTTGGTCGTCCCGTTAAGGTAGTCCCTTCCAGGTCGTTCCCTCCGCAGCGTCGGGAACCTAGGCTCTGATACCAATATTAGGTACTCAATGTTAGGTACTCAAGCCCAAGGGAATAGCCCAACCCAAAAGACTAATCTAATAAGTGGGAGGATCCCAAGGACTAAAGAACCCTTACACCCCCATAAGTGTAGTCGATGTGGGGTCATAACATTACACCACCATTCGGAAGCCGACGCCCACGGCGGCCCTTACTCTGGTGGCTTTCACTCTTAGCGGCGGCGCACCCTTGGTCGTCCCGTTAAGGTAGTCCTTTCCAGGTCGCCTCCTCCGCAGCGTCGGGAACCTAGGCTCTGATACCAATGTTAGGTACTCAAGCCCAAGGGAAGAGCCCAACCCAAAAAACTAGTCTAATAGGTGGGAGGACCCCAATGACTTAAGAACCCCTACAACCCCATAAGTGTAGTCGATGCGGGATCATAACACTACGTTATGTTCAATTTGTATATTTTTCTTCTTGCTCTACTCTTTAAATGTCTAGTCAATGACAATGTTGATCCCATGAAAAATGCAATAGTCAAATCTGCCTTTTTATTGAGCACATGTTCTTCCAAACAACATAAAAGTGATGTTGACATGGTTGATCGATCAGTGACCAATTCAATCATAAACCCCTAATTCACATAAACCCCCAAACTGATAGACCTAAACCCTAAAATTGACAAAAATCTAAACGTGAAGAAAAATCCTAGAATTATTGGTTGTTTCACATGTTTACTATCATTCATCCATATTTGTTCGTATTTTTTTGTTTGTTGACATAAATCTCGTGCTTGTCAAATATCAAATGAAATATCTCATTTGTTATGAATATTCATGATTTCTGTATTTGATATTCGTGGGAGAAAAAAACATTCATATTTGATGTTTAATATTCATGATAGAAACCTAGTTGTGTATTTCTTTGATTCTTTTTAGATGTGGGATGTATGTAGAGAGTAAGATATATGCAGAAAGTGTGAGGTGTAAGGGCAATTTGGGAATATAAGTGGGGTGTATTTAATATATAAGATGTATTTAACAACATATGACGCAAAAGAGAATCGTAATTTGAAGATTTTAGGTACTAACCTTCTTCTTTAATACGAATTAAAAGGAAATATTAAGATCTTTTGTCGAGTGCGACCGTGGCTAGCTGATGAGGATGAAGCACCTACAATTTCTTATCCTACCGACCATGGCTAGCTGATGAGGATGAAGCACCTACAATTTCTTATCCTACCGCAACAAAATCTCTCGACAGAGACATCATCTTGCTACAAAATGGTATGGGCACTCTAATGCTTGGTTTTTTTTCTTATCTAATTTAAAATCATAGAGACGAATTATTTGGATCTAATTTCACCATAAATGTTTTGTCAACTTTACAAGCCAAAATCATCATTTTACCTTTGACATAATATTTCACCACGAGGCTTCCCAGGAGGATGTTTTTGTGGAAATATCGGAGCTTATGCACAGTGCACTCAATGGCTATAAGGTACAGTGCACTCAATGGCTATAAGGTAGAGTGATTTTGTTTTCTAAGCATTTTAAATTGTGACTTTTCTTTCTTACATTATTTTGGTTGCGGAGTCCATATTCAAGCATAACTTTTGCCCTTGGTGAACAGTAGTCAACCACCGGATCTTAGTAGAGATAACCAGCACTTATTACCAAGTCGAAAATTGTAGTCCAACGTAATAAACATAATCCAAAAACTGATAGAGCTGAAAAAAAATTATAATAACATTCTAATTCACATGCTAAAACCAACAATGACTACAAACAAAACACAGTTAATCTCCATACACAAAAGAAATAGAAACACCAATAAACACCAAGAAAATAAACAATAAAGATATGAAACAGAGGGTAAAGAAAATTAAAAATTATTTGAACAATTAACATTAAAAACCACATAGCACCAATCGAAAGGACAAAACAACACTCACAAATTTTTTACCTCTTTTCTTCTGCCTTTGTATCAGTTGCGAACAAAAATTATTTGCCTTCAGCCAGGGCACACGGTTAAAATATTCAGACACCTATACACCAAAGAAATTTGTTACAATACATTGACAAAGCAAATAATCATTGATTAAACATAATTAACAAATCTGTACCCATGATCTCTATGCAACCATACGGTTTACCTTACCACTTGTTCCCTACTGCCCTCTAACTAACAAAAACTATTTTACCTAATTAATAGAGTTTGAACAACTAACATTAAAAACCACATAGCACCAATCGAAAGCATAAAACAAGAATCATAAAATTTTTACCTCTTTTCTTCTCCCTTTGTACCAACTGGGAACAAAAATTATTTGCCTTCGGCCAAGGCACACGATTGAAATTTTTTAGAAATCTATATGCCAAATTTGTTACAATACACTAACAAAGCAAATAATCATTGATTAAACCTAATTAACAAATCTGTATCCATGATCTCTATCCAACCATATGGTTTACCTTATTGCTTGTTCCCTACTGCCCTTTAACTAACAAAAGCTATTTTACCTAACTAATAAAGAGTAATTATACATGCATTTAATGGTAACCAACCAATGATTATGTAAACAAATACACATGTGGGTGATAAATGAAGTTCTGAACTAAAAGTTGAGACGATGGATTGACAACCTATTAAATCAAACGAAAAATAATAATAATGAAAGAGATCAACTCTAATTGTCTTTCCTTGCACCATTACCAGAACAAAATTTATGCGAGCCAAAAACAATGAAATGGTCAATGCAAACATTGCAGACAGATTCAAAAAAAAAAAATTTGAAGCCAAGGAAAAACTTGAAAACCCACAAAAAACCGAAATCTTATAGGAGTCCATCTTTCCATCGTTTTCCTTCAAAATAAAAACAAAAAACTCTAATTTGTGTGCCTACACATATACATCGGATAAAAATCGTAAACAAATACAACAACAACAACAAAGCCTTTTCCCACTAAGTGGGGTCGGCTATATGAATCCTAGAACGCCATTGCGCTCGGTTTTGTGTCATGTCCTCCGTTAGATCCAAGTACTCTAAGTCTTTTCTTAGAGTCTCTTCCAAAGTTGTCCTAGGTCTTCCTCTACCCCTTCGGCCCTGAACCTCTGTCCCGTAGTCACATCTTCGAACCGGAGCGTCAGTCGGCCTTCTTTGCACATGTTCAAAATCACCGGAGCCGATTTTCTCTCATCTTTCCTACAATTTCGGCTACTCCTACTTTACCTCGGATATCCTCATTCCCAATCTTATCATTTCTCGTGTGCCCACACATCCCACGAAGCATCCTCATCTCCGCTACACCCCCATTTTGTGTACGTGTTGATGCTTCACCACCCAACATTCTGTGCCATACAACATCGCTAGCCTTATTGTCGTCCTATAAAATTTTCCCTTGAGCTTCAGTGGCCTACGACGGTCACACAACACGCCGGATGCACTCTTTCCCATCCAGCTCGTATTCTATGGTTGAGATCTCCATCTAATTCTCCGTTCTCTTGCAAGATAGATCCTAGGTAGCGAAAACGATCGCTTTTTGTGATCTTTCGCTAGATTGCTCCAGTCATTAGTGTGGGATAAGTATATAAATGGATAGAGATAGGAAAGCAAACACAAGATGTACGTGGTTCACCCAGATTGGCTACGTCCACGGAATAGAAGAGTTCTCATTAATTGTGAAGGGTTTACACAAGTACATAGGTTCAAGCTCTCATTTAGTGAGTACAAGTGAATGATTTAGTACAAATGACATTAGGAAATATTGTGGGAGAATGATCTCGTAATCACGAAACTTCTAAGTATCGGAGTGTGGTGTCGTCTTGACTTGCCTTATCTGTCTCATAGGTAGATGTGGCATCTTCTCTGGAAGTACTCTTCCTCCATCCAGGGGTGGTATCTTTAACTGGTGGAGATGCACAAGGTAATGTATCAATTTCACTTGAAGCTTACTTGTAGTTTCAGGCTTGGTCAAGCGCGATACAAACCATGTAGTAGGAGTCCCCCAAGTCGCCGAGCTAGGGGGTCTGCTGAAAGAGGTGACAGACAAGGTAAGCAATCAGAGCTCCGACTGATTGTTCACCTTCTCCCCATCTTGCAGCAGCATGAAGGATAAAGAGAAGAAAAATGAGAAGAGATGATATGAGATACTTTTGCTTTTGAAGAAGTAACTTTCCACAGGCTTATTCTTGAACTGAGCTGGAGGGTTTTCTGGTTTCCTCCAGAGTATAAGGCCGACTGAAGAATTTGAGGGTCAAAACAAGTCCATCAAATCTAGAGTACGTTCCACCCTGCTGATATGGGATACTTTTGCTTTTGACAGAGTAATGAATGTATCGGCACGTGTGCTGTTACGCTTGTCTCCACATGCTTCCTTGTATCCTTCGCACTTGCCCTATCTGTTCCTCAAGCAGATGCGGAATCTTCCCTGGAAACATAAGATGTTGAAGATGAGTACTCGAGAGCAATGCCAGGTAAGTAATCAGGTAAGGGGTTCCAGGCAGTCAGTTCCTGGCTGGAAGCTTGATTCCAAGTGCTGACTGATTGCTCTCTTTCTCCTTGTCTTGCAGGTAAAAAACAAGGCCAAAAGAAAAGACAGGGAAAAAGCATGATATGGGATACTCTTGCTTTTAACCCTGATGATATGAGATATTCTTGCTCTAGTATAGCTTGTTTGCAGAGGTATTATCGGGGGGAAAGAAAGCTGAATATTTCGAAAGGCTTCGTTGGGAGTGCCCTCTCAGATATGATGAAGGGTTGAGCATTTTTGCAGGTCTGCCTGTCCGTTGGGGATGGAGGTCGACATATATAGGAGTCTCCCTAACAACAAGTAGTAATGTTATTCCTTTACCCTGCTTGGTCATAGCACGGTAGTGGGAGCTGCCAGTTTCACATGTTTTAACTCTGTCAGAGCACTTTGAAAAAGTGGTCTGTGGTATCTGGCTCTCGAGATTCGGAGAAACGATGCCTCTTCGATTTTTGAGAAAGCAATCATGCTGGGGGTATGACTCTCGAGATTCGGAGAGCAGTGTCTCTTCGATTTTTGAGGAAGTAATCATGTTGGGAGTCTGGCTCTCGAGATTCGGAGGGTGGTGCCTCTTCGATTTTGGAGCAAGCAATCTTGTTGGGAGTGTTGTCTCGAATGTGAGTAAAGGTTGGGCATGTTTGCTAGTCTACCTTGCCACGAAGCACAAAGGTTGACACACAGGGACTTTCCAATTATCCAGCAATGGTACTGTTCCTTTACCCTCTCTTCGATTTTGAGAAAGTAGTCATGTTGGGAGTCTGGCTCTCGAGATTCGGAGGACGGTGCCTCTTCGATTTTGGAGCAAGCAATCTTATTGGGAGTGTTTTCTCGAATGTGAGTAAAGGTTGGGCATGTTTGCTAGTCTACCTTGCCACGAAGCACAGAGGTTGACACACAGGGACTTTCCAATTATCCAGCAGTGGTACTGTTCCTTTACAGTTGTGGGTAATAATATGGTAGCTAGACCTTCAAAAATTTATGTGTCTAAACTTTTGTTAGTGCTGTTTTTTTTGCTATTCTTTTACCTTTCTTGGTCAGAGCGATGTAGTGGGAGCTGCAAGCTTCACGTGCTCAACTTTGGCAGAGAACTTTGGCAAAGTTATTTGTGGTACCCATGAGCTATTGTTGCGTGTGGGAAGTGGGTGATTGAACAGTAAGATTCATGTGCTTTCTACTTCACCAGAAGTCTTCGACAGAATGCCCATAATTTTCTGCAAAGCTGAGTGTGCGTGTGACAGGTGTTGACAAGGCTAGAAAAGTAGGTGCCTCTTCGATTTCTGAGATCGGCCCTCGTGGTCTCTGAGCAGCCCAGCTTTTGAGAAAGCGAGCGCCTCTCTTCGATTGATTCGGAGAACGATGCCTCATCGATTTTTGAGAAAGCAATCATGTTGGGGGTCTGGCTCTCGAGATTCGGGGAGCAGTGTCTCTTCGATTTTTTGAGAAAGTAATCATGTTGGGAGTCTGGCTCTCGAGATTCGGAGGGCGGTGCCTCTTCGATTTTGGAGCAAGCAATCTTGTTGGGAGTGTTTTCTCGAATGTGAGTAAAGGTTGGGCATGTTTGCTAGTCTACCTTGCCACGAAGCACAGAGGTTGACACACAGGGACTTTCCAATTATCCAGCAATGGTACTGTTCCTTTACCCTCTCTTCGATTTTTAAGAAAGTAGTAGTCATGTTGGGAGTCTGGCTCTCGAGATTCGGAGGACGGTGCCTCTTCGATTTTGGAGCAAGCAATCTTATTGGGAGTGTTTTCTCGAATGTGAGTAAAGGTTGGGCATGTTTGCTAGTCTACCTTGCCACGAAGCACAGAGGTTGACACACAGGGACTTTCCAATTATCCAGCAGTGGTACTGTTCCTTTACCCTTGTGGGTAATAATATGGTAGCTAGACCTTCAAAATTTATGGGTCTAAACTTTGTTAGTGCTGTTTCTTTGCTATTCTTTTACCCTTCTTGGTCAGAGCGATGTAGTGGGAGCTGCAAGCTTCACGTGCTCAACTTTGGCAGAGAACTTTGGCAAAGTTATCTGTGGTACCCATGAGCTATTGTTGCGTGTAGGAAGTGGGTGATTGAACAGTAAGATTCATGTGTTTTCTACTTCCCCAGAAGTCTTTGACAGAATGCCCATAATTTCCGCAAAACTGAGTGTGCGTGTGACAGGTGCTGACAAGGCTGGAAAAGGTTGGAAAAGTAGGTGCCTCTTCGATTTCTGATATCGGCCCTCGTGGTCTCTAGGGAGCCCAGCTTTTGAGAAAGCGAGCGCCTCTTCGATTTTTGAGATTGGCCTTCGTGGTCTTTGAGCAGCCCAACTTTTGAGAAAGCAAACGCCTCTTCGATTTCTGAGATCAACCCTCGTGATCTCTAAGCAGCCCAGCTTTTGAGAAAGCAAACGCCTCTTCGATTTCTGAGCAGGCGCCTCTTCGATTTCTGAAGCTTCGTCGAGTGCAGATTTTTATAGGGGCTGGCATTAAGTTCCAAAAGCACACTTAAATCTCCACCAGTAGAAGCTTCATTCTTGCACTTCTAAGATCTTGATTTGTCCGACCTCTTCTCTCTTCAACACCTTTGAAAATGTCTGGCCCCTCTGACCGTCGTTTTGACTTGAACCTTGTTGAAAAGGCAGCCCCGGCTTCTCCAGACAACATATGGCGCCCATCCTTCGTCTCCCCTACTGGTCCTCTTACCGTTGGGGATTCCGTGATGAAGAATGATATGACCGCTGCGGTGGTGGCCAGGAACCTTCTCACACTCCCAAAGATAACAGACTACTTTCCAAACGGTCTGATGAGTTAGCTGTTAAGGATTCGCTGGCTCTCAGTGTTCAGTGTGCAGGTTCTGTGTCTAATATGGCCCAACGCCTATTTGCTCGAACCCGCCAAGTTGAATCATTGGCGGCTGAAGTGATGAGTCTCAAACAGGAGATTAGAGGGCTCAAGCATGAGAATAAACAGTTGCACCGGCTCGCACATGACTATGCTACAAACATGAAGAGGAAGCTTGACCAGATGAAGGAAACTGATGGTCAGGTTTTACTTGATCATCAGAGATTTGTGGGTTTTGTTCCAAAGGCATTTATTGCCTTCGTCTTCTAGGGCTGTACCGCGTAATGAAGCTCCAAATGATCAACCTCTGATGCCTCCTCCTTCTAGGGTTCTGTCCAGTACTGAGGCTCCAAATGATCCCCCTCCGGTGCCTTCTCTTTCTGGGGCTCTACCGACTGCTGAGACTTCTCCTAAGCAACCTTTGTGAAGGCTCCCTCTTGTGTGCTTATTTTGACTCATGTATATGTACATATTTGTAGCTTATCGGGGATATCAATAAATAAGCTTTCCTTCATTTCAACGTATTGTGTTAAATACACCAAAGCCTTCTTCGCTAAGTTCTTTGAATTTTCTTTTGTTAAAGCTTGTATGTTGAAGCTTTCTGAGTGGAGCATGTAGGTTGGGGTAGTGTTCTCTTAATTTCCCGAATGAGGAAAACTTCTCGGTTGGAGACTTGGAAAATCCAAGTCACTGAGTGGGATCGGCTATATGAATCTTAGAACGCCATTGTGCTCGATCCTGTGTCATGTCCTTCGTTAGATCCAAGTACTCTAAGTCTTTTCTTAGAGTCTCTTCCAAAGTTTTCCTAGGTCTTCCTCTACCCCTTCGGCCCTGAACCTCTGTCCCATAGTCGCATCTTCTAATCGGAACGTCAGTAGGCCTTCTTTGCACATGTCCAAACCACCGTAACCGATTTTCTCTCATCTTTCCTTCAATTTCGGCTACTCCTACTTTACCCCCGGATATCCTCATTCCTAATCTTATCCTTTCTCGTGTGCCCACACATCCAACGAAGCATCCTCCTCATCTCCGCTACACACCCATTTTGTGTACGTGTTGATGTTTCACCGCCCAACATTCTGTGCCATACAGCATCGCCGGCCTTATTGCCGTCCTATAAAATTTTCCCTTGAGCTTCAGTGGCATACGGCGGTCACACAACACGCCGGATGCACTCTTCCACTTCATCCATCCCACTTGTATTCTATGGTTGAGATCTCCATCTAATTCTCCGTTCTTTTGCAAGATAGATCCTAGGTAACGAAAACGGTCGCTCTTTGGTATTTCTTGATCTCCGATCCTCACCCCTAACTCGTTTTGGCCTCCATTTGCACTGAACTTGCACTCCATATATTCTGTCTTTGATCGGCTTAGGCGAAGACCTTTAGATTCCAACACTTCTCTCCAAAGGTTAAGCTTTGCATTTACCCCTTCCTGAGTTTCATCTATCAACACTATATCGTCTGCGAAAAGCATACACCAAGGAATATCATCTTGAATATGTCGTGTTAACTCATCCATTACCAACGCAAAAAGGTAAGGACTTAAGGATGAGCCTTGATGTAATCCTACAGTTATGGGAAAGCTTTCGGTTTGTCCTTCATGAGTTCTTACGGCAGTCTTTGCTCCTTCATACATATCCTTTATAGCTTGGATATATGCTACTCGTACTCCTTTCTTCTCTAAAATCCTCCAAAGAATGTCTCTTGGGACCCTATATCATACGCTTTTTCCAAATCTATAAAGACCATGTGTAAATCCTTTTTCCCATCTCTATATCTTTCCATCAATCTTCGTAAGAGATAGATTGCCTCCATGGTTGAGCGCCCTGGCATGAACCCGAATTGGTTGTCCGAAACCCGTGTCTCTTGCCTCAATCTATGCTCAATGACTCTCTCCCAGAGCTTCATTGTATGACTCATTAGCTTAATACCCCTATAGTTCATGCAATTTTGTACGTCGCCCTTATTCTTGTAGATAGGCACCAAAGTGCTCATTCGCCACTCATTTGGCATCTTCTTCGTTTTCAAAATCCTATTGAAAAGGTCAGTGAGCCATGTTATACCTGTCTCTCCCAAAAGTTTCCACACTTCGATTGGTATATCGTCTGGGCCTATTGCTTTTTTATGCTTCATCTTCTTCAAAGCTACAACAACCACTTCTTCCTTCCGGATTCGACGATAAAAGGAGTAGTTTCTACACTCTTCTGAGTTACTCAACTCCCCTAAAGAAGCACTCATTTCATGTCCTTCATTGAAAAGATTATGAAAATAACCTCTCCATCTGTCTTTAACCGCGTTCTCTGTAGCAAGAACCTTTCCATCCTCATCCTTGATGCACCTCACTTGGTTTAGGTCCCTTGTCTTCTTTTCCCTTGCTCTAGATAGTTTATAGATATCCAACTCTCCTTCTTTGGTATCTAGTCGTTTATACATATCGTCGTAAGCCGCTAACTTAGCTTCTCTGACAGCTTTCTTCGCCTCTTGCTTCGCTTTTTCTATACCTTTCACCATTTTCATCAGTCCTCTCCTTGTATAAGGCTTTACAACATTCCTTCTTAGCCTTCACCTTTGTTTGTACCTCCTCATTCCACCACCAAGATTCCTTTTGGTGTGGGATCCTTTTGGTGTGGGGCAAAGCCCAAAGCCCTTGGACTCTCCTAATACCTCTTTTGCTACTTTTCGGATACAACTAGCCATGGAATCCCACATTTGGCTAGCTTCCCCCTCTCTATCCCACACACATTGGGTGATTACCTTCTCTTTGAAAATTGCTTGTTTTTTTCTTCTTTTAGATTCCACCATCTAGTCCTTGGGCACTTCCAAGTCTTGTTCTTTTGTCTTACTCTTTTGATATGTACATCCATCACCAACAAGCGATGTTGATTAGCCACGCTCTCTCCTGGTATAACTTTGCAATCCTTACAAGTTATACGATCCCCTTTCCTCATTAGAAGAAAATCTATTTGTGTTTTTGACGACCCACTCTTGTAGGTGATCACATGTTCTTCTCTCTTCTTAAAGAAGGTGTTGGCTAAGAAGAGATCATATGCCATTGCAAAATCCAAGATAGCTTCCCCATCCTCATTTCTCTCCCCAAAACCATGGCCACCATGAAAACCTCCATAGTTGCCTGTCTCCCTGCCCACGTGTCCATTTAAATCTCCTCCTATAAATAACTTCTCCGTCTGAGCAATTCCTTGCACCAAGTCTCCAAGATCTTCCCAAAATTTCTCCTTCGAACTCGTATCCAACCCTACTTGAGGTGCGTACGCACTAATCACATTGATAAGTTCTTGTCCTATTACAATCTTGATTGCCATGATTCTATCTCCTACCCTCTTGACATCTACAACATCTTGTACCAAGGTCTTGTCCACGATGATGCCAACACCGTTTCTCGTTCTATTTGTGCCCGAATACCAAAGTTTAAACCCTGAGTTTTCTAGATCCTTTGCCTTACTACCAACCCCACTTAGTTTCTTGTAGGCACATAATATTTATCCTTCTCCTCACCATAACTTCCACTACTTCCATAGATTTTCCCGTTAAGGTTCCTATATTCCACGTTCCTAAACGCATTTTGCTCTCTTGAACTCTACCCTTCTGTCCTAGCTAGCTGCTTCTTCACCCTCCCCCGTCTAATAGGATCAAAAGTACTTCTTTTGTGTGTCCCGGGTAAAGTTTGATAGGAGCATATGCTCCCAAACAACTTTGAGTGGAGTCGTTCGAAAAGAAGTTTCTATGGCCCCCTTGCTCATTTAACACTGCATCCGGGTGCCGATGGAGATACAGCGACCCTTGCTCACTTATCACTGTGCTCAGGCCACACAGCGCGCCACTTACGGGTGACGCCTAGCTTTAGCGCGATTTTGTTCTGGATTCATTTTCATAAGGATTCGACGTGATCATGGAGTGCCGGCTGTCGACTACCTGACGCCCTCCCCCTCCTCCTTTATCCGGGCTTGGGACCGGCCATGTAAGACATAGGCGGAGTTATCGTAAACAAATAAAAAAAAAAATAAAAAAATCTAGAACAACAGCAGAGATAACAAAAATTATAAAAAAAAACCATAAAAATTTTCAATCAAAAGTTTTAGAATTAAACTCACAGGAAGTTCTGTAACCAGTTGCAAGTGGCTGCACCCTCGTTGGTGACCAATTGCAAAGTGGCCTTTTTGCCCAGATCTGTAACCAATTGTAAAGTCGTCTTTTTGCTCAGTTCACTACGGTTTCATTTCAGTTATTTTCATTCGTATGTAGATATATTGAATCATTGATTGCTATATTAACTCTAGAAAGCCACGAATGGAAGTTGAAGTATTAAAGGACTCAACACTTACTATTTAGTTTAAATACTCTATCTGCAACTGAGCTGAATTCACAACCTATGCTAATTAAGGGTGTAGAGTTTCACCTTCTTCCTAGCCATAAATGGTCGGAAAGTCTTGAAATTGGCCAAAGAAAGCTGGGATCCTCATCGAACAAACCCACCGAGGTGCGTTTATGGAACTCCTCACTGTTTAATCTGCATTACCAGAACAAAATGTAAATTCACCAGTTAAATGCGTGTATCAATTTCATAATGTAGTTTATTACAAAGATTAAGAAGTGAAAATTACCATAGCAGTAGTGGCATCTCCGAAAAGGGCAATGAGGGATGACACAGCTACTTGGCCAACAGATGCGGCTAGGGCTCCAAACACTAAAACCCCGTACACTGCACATAAGGATGCTGCAAAATAATTAACGCAAGAAACAGTTCAATATAACTTTAAAAATTTTGGGAAGTTGATGTGGCATAATCGTCATATACCAATTGATTCATAAATCGTGACCATCCATCCAAGCAAAAGCATCTACATAAACTGCATGGTAGATTTTTTATGTGTTCCAGATTCATTATCTGCAAAATATGCATCTATCAAACAACATAAATCTAACTATAGATCATTATCTTAAGCGAAAAAAGAAACTACAAAATTTGAAGTTTGATCTAACAGTTATTCAGTAATTTCTTTATATCATTTGAATAAGAAATTATTGCATAAAATGAATCTATCCAGTTCACCACAGATTAGTAATCGAGTCTAATTTGGTCGACATGATCAAATGTGTGTGTGTGTATGTATCTATATGTATATATATATATGTAGCCATTGTATGCAAAGCCCTAACAGATTGAAGTGATCTCTTAAAACTTGATATGGAGCATCGTTCTCTTCCCATGTTTGTAGGATATATTACATGGTTCCACTTCAAGCATTATGGCCAACAGCTATGGCGGTCCATTAGACAAATTAGATGGTTTTAGTACGTCGTCGATCTCTAGCCTTATATCAAAATTGTGGAGTGCGGAACCCTTATCCCAGAAAACCTCAATATGCAGATGAGATATAACATTTGAATCAAGCAATTCACAAATACAAAAATTACTTACAAAATAATTTTGAAAGTAAGTAAAAAAAAAAAGATCTTTTGTATGCCTATTACCTTCATCGGACCCAAAAAAGGTGGGAAAGGCCTGAAATTGGCCAGAAAAAACTCGCATCTTCGTCGGAAAGCCCACCGCAGACTGGGCTTATTGAACTCTTTGATAGAGGGGTAAATTCGAATATGCAAAGCTCAAATGTTGTTGTTAGGACTCTCTTGAGTCCCGGGAGAACTGCGAGAGGGAAGAGAGACAAGGGATAAGAAAGAATTAAAAAAAAAAATTAACAGTGCATATGCGATCCAGGGCCACCATTGGAATAAGGTAAAATCTGTGCACCCAGAACATAAGAAATACCTGCATAAAAGTATTAACACACATAGATTAGATCATTTGAAGCTTATATCATGCGCACCAAGCCAAAACAAATAATTTGAAGTCAGACCAACCAAAACAAACAAAAGTCAGTTACCATGGAAGATTATCACAAAATCGCAGGACCCAGACAATCTGAATAGAGTGGGTTCTACGGGTGGAAGAAAGCGCAAAAGCTATTGCCACGATGGAGCAAGTCGGGGAACGCGGGGTAGAGAAGACGCCTCTGAGAGAACCCGAGAACGGAGGGATGCCCTTTCTAAGATCAGCGAATGGAAGCAAATGGGCCTTTCCGCGATGACCAACACGTGTACACGGGGCAGAAAAAAAAAATGGCAATTGCAGAAAACGGCGAGAGAGAGAAGCAAAACGAAAGGCGGAGAATGAAACGGCAGAGAAAGGGATGGCAACGGAAACCGTAGAAAACCCGAACAGGTATTTCCTGTAACCAAACCCGTTGGGTAACGGATTAACGGTTTTCCCACTGTGCAACCACCTTACCCACGAGCCCTAGCCACCCACGGTCTCACCCTCCTCCCACGCCCCAGACCTGCGGCAGCAAGCTTCAATTTGCTGAAGCTCTTCCCATCACCGACCCCACTCCCTCAGCAACCTTCAACCCAAAATCGCAGCAATTTTCAAACTTGCTTCACCAGCAACCCACGGCTGCACAACCCCTTATTTTATATGGGCCAGACCCTGGCCAACCCAGCCTCTGCAACCCCGCGACTTATCCCCCTGCACCTGCAGCTGCTCCACCTTCAACCTGCACTTGTCTTCTAGGCTTAGACTTGCGACAGCTCAAACCACCTCCAGCTGCAAACCGTGACCCATCTTCATCGAATTTCTCAAACCTCAGCGGCGAAATTACACTGAGACGAAGCTTCAGAGATGTAAAAGGGGCTTATTTGCAGCTAGGTCTTAGAACTTATTAAAAAATAATAATAATTAAAGAAAGGGGAAGGAGGGGAAGAGAAGAGTGGGGAGCGGCCAGAAAATAGAGAAGTACGAAGGAGAGGAGACGAACGGCAGGGAGACTAGGGTTCGAAGTTTGAAGTTTGAAGTCTGCACACTGCACAATCTGCATCTCAAGAGGTACGTTTTCTGGAAGAACTCAAAAGCTTTGAAGCGTGCACGGCACCTCAAGACTTTTTGAGTCTCCCCATGCAGTATTAAAGATGGAGTATTAAAGTTGCTAGAAAAAATAATAAGGATTTCATTCTTTCATAAAAAAAATATAAATAATAAATATTTATATTTTTTTGTTAAAGAATGAAAACGGCGTGGGTTCGAGTATGGGTTCGGAACAGATACCCCTATAACTATAACTGAACTTGAAATTGAACAATTTACCCAACGGTTATCTATAACAGTAAAAAACCTGAAATTTGATTCCCGGAACTGAACTATTCGGTTCGGTTATCTGTGGAGATCGGTTTGACGGATTAAATTGTCATCCCTAAGAGAAGGCCAACGATGAAAAATATGTGGACAGCGAGGGCAAAAATCGCCATTTTTCTGTGCAAAGAGTTGAAAAAAAAAACACAGGGAAGACCAATTTAAGGGGCATTTTCGTCCACACACTATTCATAAATAGTGCACCCGAGTTTGGGTTTTAGTATAGGTATAATTTATGAGGTTTATAATATGAACCACTGGTATGAAAGAAAACAATAGTTTCCTGTCTCTTTACGAAATCCTAACTTGTCAATTATTTAATGTTTTTCTCTCACCCCTATTCCTCATTTTGTTAACTGTTCAAGGATATGACTGTTTTCTACGTGTTTACACCTCAAGTACAGGGTCGAGCATGAGGGTAGCTGGAGTAGGCGTCTGCCTAAGGCCTCCAATTTTTAGACAGGTCTAGACAGGGATGGGCGGGAGCTATGCGGGCTCATATGTAAATGCCGGAATCTGAAAATCTTTTGTTGTAGGATTGGCCTTGAGCAAGGAAGAAGAAAACACAATTTTACTTAAAATTATCCCATTATCTATTTTTATAATTGCACGTTTTCTCCATTTTAAATAGTCAACACCATCTTATTTTTATTTTTTTACTTATCTCTTAACTATCACCTTTATGTTTTTTTTATGGGGTTTTATTACATTATTTTAATATCACACCATATAATATATATCTTTATTAAGTACCTAAAAGGCTAAAACTCACCTTTTTTTTTAAATGACATTATTTAATGTTCAAATTAATTAGTTTATATAATATATAATAAATTATTCAAATCCATCTCGTTCGCCTAGGCGCGTATACGAAAATTACTATCATCTTCACTCTAGTATTTTCCCTGGATATAAGATGTTGTCTTTGTAATTCAACCATTCATTCATTTATTGAACGTAATAAGCGACATTGTAACAATAAAAAATGATTGGAATTTGGCGTACTGGGAAGAGATTTTTCTTTCGGTTTGAATTTGTTGAAAAATTAGATTATGTAAACCTAATAAGTGCATTTGCATCTAAAAACGAGAGACGAGTAATGTTTGTATATCTTTCTTTATTCAATATTCATTTTTAAAGATATTTGTTGTAGAAATAAACTTTTTATGTATTTAGAAAGAAAAAAATTTACACATGTCAATGTACAAAGGGTCTGAAGTCAAATAACTTTAGGGCCTCACTTTAAAGACTTGGCTAAGGGCCCCAAATTCTCAGGACCGACCTGCTCAAGTAAAATTTCACTACAGAGATCATTGTGTCACCATTTAATGTCTAAAACATAACTAAAATAACAAGAATACCGAGTTACTATGGTACAAAACCAACAGCATAAAACATTCAACTCATTTTAGACACATCCCTCCAAGGGCAAACTCTATAGCAGACTGTTACTGCCACCAGCTCACTACACATCATAAGACTTGATCACAGAAATATTGAGATAAAAACCTACACCACTCTTCAACTTGATATCCATGATTCAGTGATTCACACATAGCAATAAAACCCAGCGTTCTTGATGTGGTTACTAGCCGTACGCGGGTTCCCCGACTATTATTACATCTGTATCAATGTTGGCCTGGATTATATGGCCATCAGTGCTGCGTCGAACAGTGCCTTTTATTCCCATCAAGCAATGCTCCTTCATTGTATTGGCAACAGAACAAAACCATTTTAAAACACAATTAACTTACCACAAAGCATTTTCATCAAGGGAGGAGGGCAGGTAATAGGATGAACATGTACACAATCGTGCTGCAAACCAGGAGTTGTATTAGTTTTGTTCGTCTTCACCCAACATATACCCTCACAACCACAAAAGCCCCACTGCAGGACCACATTATTTCTTCAAATGCCCAATACTCCGTGTGGTCAGCAACACCAGGAGCATGATGAACGTATTCCACCCAAGGTGGATCAACAAGAATGACATCAAACTTGGTTCCAACAAACTCGGGGGATAGCTCAAACTCTTTGAGGTGACTTATATTCTGACATCTCATCAATTTTTTTTTTTCCATTGTGTTGTATGTATATTTAGTAGTTTCTTCAATGGTAAACTAGTTTTTTTTTTCTCTGTTCTGTTGTTGATTAATGTGTTTGCCTTTTGTCCTTGGTGGTCAATTGACATGGTTGATATTCCCATGTTTTCCATGCAATATTCTGGTTGAATGTATTATATTCGATTCTGTTGCAGCCATATCCTCATTTAAACAGCAAGTCGAAGGTTTACAGGACATTGACCATTCAATTGAGATGTTGGTTGGTTTACTTTGTGCTGTCCCTGTTTGGAGTGAAAAAAAATGTTCAGGTATTTATGCTTTGAATATTTTGTTAGGCAGGTTTAATAAGATCTTGCTTGCTTTTCTTTCTTATTAGTGTTTCGGTGTAAAATTTATTAAGACGCGTATTTTGAGTAATGCAGGTTCAGCAACAGGTTATTGAAGTTATTACCTACATGGCGTCCACTGCAAAGAAGTTTCCCAAGAAATGTGTAGTACTTTGTCTTCTGTGAGTTTTTATTTTAATTTAGATCAGACATCAGGATTGGAGCTTGGTTTGCTTTCTGTCTCTCTTCAGGTTGTTGCTGTGGATGAACATATATGGTTGTCAAATCTAGCTTCTAATGGTGTTATGCACTTTGACAGGTATTAGTGAACGGGTTGCAGATATCAAGACCCGGACCCATGCCATGAAGTGCCTCACTGCTTTTTCTGAAGCCATAGGTCCAGGATTAATTTTTGAAAGAGTAAGTTTAGATGTGATTCTTCTACTAGCCACCATTTTTCTGGATGCCTTCTGTTTTTCCTGAAAGCAAGGATGCTTAATCTTATACCCATGAGCATGCACTATATATTGCTCATTCTCGAATGATTGATTGGTATTTCTGCTCATTGTAGCTTTACAAAATTATGAAAGAACACAAGAACTCTAAGGTTCTCAGCGAGGGAGTATTGTGGATGGTTTCAGCAGTTGAAGACTTTGGTGTCGCACATGTGAAACTTAAGGTTTTTGGATTCTGTTCCGATTTAGCCAATTTTGTTTTCTTTCATCTGTTCCAGTCATCAATTAGTACTTAGTAATTTACATGAAGAGGATCATATGCTTTACAGGAATTGATTGATTTTTGTAAAGAAACTGGACTGCAGTCCAGTGCTGCTGCCACTAGGAACTCTACTATTAAGCTTTTGGGTGCTATACATAAATTTGGTGGTCCAGGTGACTAGTCTTTTTAGTTTGGATGCTCCATACCTCATCTTCATTTCGGCACTTCTAAGATTATCTCTATGTTTCAGATATTAAAGGGTTTCTTACTAATGTTAAACCTGCACTACTCAGTGCACTGGACGCAGAGTATGAAAAGAATCCATTTGAGGTATTCCTTATGATAGTCAAAGTTTGCATACATCAGTCTTTCTTGTTTATTGGCAACTAATGTCTTGTATTATTTTCCAGGGTGCTTCTGTGGTTCTCAAGAGAAGTGTTGGGACAACGGAATCTACTTAATCTGTCTCTTGTTCATTGGCAACTAATGTCTTGTATTATGTTATGTCTGTATGCTGTTTTTAATGGTTGTTTTAAGAAAGTTGTCATTTGTTAGAAGCTATATTGGGTGTGTTAATTTTCCATCTTCCAGGTTCGCTTGGAGTCAAAAGAAGCTGTCAATAAAATTTTAGAAGAAGATAATAAGCGCATCCAGCCAACTGGAACTAACTGGTACAAACAATATATTTATTGTTACCTACAGAATAGTCGCCATTCAATTTCTTGATAACTTGTTTATTGTTTGGCTGCCAGCGGAGTTGTTTGCTGCCTTAAGGGGGCGCTTATATGATAGCAAGTTAGCAACCAAGAACTTGGTCGCTGCAACCTTAACGGTTGTTGGTAATGTTGCATCTGCAATAGGCGCACCAGCTGAAATGTTGAGCAAGGTTTGTTTATATCCAAATTGACAACTACTTATATGAAGCATCTTTTTTGTTGTTTTTAATACAGTTGAACTTTTGCACGAATTGCAGGGCATTCTGTCGGATGTTTTGAAATGTCTAGGAGACAATAAGAAGCATATGAGACAATGCACTTGAACTGCTTTAGACTCATGGCTCTCCGCTGTTCATCTTGATAAAATGGTGACTGTCTTTTATCTCTATTCGTGATTTGAAATTTGAGTCTCATGTCAAGTAGTGTAACAGTATGTTGTTGTAGGCTCCTTGTATTACAGCAGCTATATCAGACACCAAGCTTGGTGCAGAAGGGTGGAAAGATCTTTTCGAGTGGTTGACAAGACAGATTTCTGGGTTAAGTGATTTCTCTGATGCTGCTCATCTTCTGAAACCAGCTTCCTCTGCTTTGACGGTAAATTGTAATTGATTATCATAAGAAATTCTTGTCTTATTTAACCCTGTCCATCCATCAAAGCACACATTGAAAAAATCTTACGATGATGTAAAAAGTTCAAGTACCAGACACACTCCGTGACACAACGGACACACAAATGTGTATGTTATGTGTATATGCTAGTACATATATATACGCTTAAGTTTATTCATATATTACTCGCTTCTGAAATGACTTGGAATCCTTTATAGGATAAATCCTCAGATGTTCGTAAAGCAGCAGAGACATGCGTTTCTGAAATTTTGAGAGTTAGTGGGCATGAAACGGTAAAGCGTGCTAGACAACGTGTTTTCACATTTCGATTGATTGATATCTTCTCATTTATTTGTTTATATTACTGGTTTAGGTTGTGAAGATTTTGAGAGATATTCATGGGCCAACTTTAGCTCTTGTTGAACGATTGAAGCCTCATGGATCTTTTCACCTATGGTGTTTTTGCTTGTAATGCATTAAACTAATTAACTAAATTGAATGGTTTCCTCTTAGAATCTTTTGAGTCAGCCAAAAGCATTTCAAAGGCCGGAAAGTCTGCTTCCAATGGAGTTTTGAAGCATGGAGCCAAAGCTACTTCAGTACGTCCCTCCGGCGTAGTTGATAACTTTTTTTTTTAGACGTTATGATCATATTAATTGATTGTCCATTGAATTGCAAAGAGGACAATTCCCACGAAGGGATCAAATTCAATGCTGTCCGTCCAAGATATAGCTGTCCAGTCACAGGCCTTGATAAATGTTAAAGATTCAGTTAAGGTACATATGACAATAGCATGGAATTTGAACTTGTGTACTAATCTTGAGCCTGCTGATGAATGGGGATTTGAACTGCAGGAGGATAGAGAGCGATTGGCAGCTAAAAAGTTTTAAGTTTGAAGAGCCTCGGATAGAACACTTGTACAGATTTCACAGAACAATTCCTCGAGTTTTTCATTGTCATTGCATTTATGAAAAGTATTTTACTCGTGCATTACATGCAGAATGATATGACGAAGTGCTTTAGAGAGGATGTGCATGGGCGGCTTCTTTCTACAGATTTTAAGAAGCAAGTTGATGGGCTTGAGATATTACACAAGGTATATTTCTGCTAGTCCTAATATCTCAATTTGTATCGAATAAGCCTGCTTATTTTGACCAATGTCTTTGTGCATGCATTCCAGGCGCTTCCAACCATTAAAAAGGAAATTATTCAAGCATTGGATATACTGCTGAGGTGGTTTGTTTTACAATTTTGTTTATCTTTTATGTCTTACCTCAAAAATCATGTCAATATACAAAAAATCATCCAAATTCCAAAATCATATCACCGTTGGATTAAATTTAGTGTTTCTTTGTAAAATCGTATTTGTCCATTTGCTTCACTACTAATTAATGTCATAATGGTTGTGGATTTGTCTAATTTTTTGCAAGGATAGTCTATGAATAATGTGCTAAAATATAAATAATTTAGATCTATAAAACACATTAGGAAGTGAGTCCTCAAAACTGTTGGAAATTTAAGTAGTTTGAGTAGAAATTTCTTTGTCTCACATTGGCCATTCCTAAAAAATTTCATCACTTTATAAGGCTTTGTCCTTTATAGAAAGTGATTGGAGTAATAGACCTTGGAAAATAAAATTGGGCTCACCCTTGGGGTTGGGCTTTGAGGTGCACTAATTAATTGGTAATTAATATATATATATATAATTAATATATAATTAATTTTTATTTGAACAGACTTCATCTGAAAGTCAATAAAAACGCAGAGAGCACTGCACCATATCTGAAGAGATGTCTCCCAACAGTCACATCACATTCTTATACCTGTTGCGAACATGCATAATCCCTCTCTGCATGGCATTTAGAACATAGAAAACATGAATCTCCTTCTATAATCTATAACATTCTTACTGAGAGTACCACAAGGAAATTCGCCATAATCCCTCTATATATACAACCGTCTGCATGACACATTTAGAACATAGAAAACATAAATCTCTTTCTATAATCTATAGCATTCTTATTGAGAGTACCACAAGGAAATTCGTCAGAAGTTAAGTTTTTCGGTGCTGAAATTCTAACTTGATCGTTAAATCCTGGTGAAACAGACATCCGGAGAACTACAAGCATTGAGTAGGGGCGAAATTTATGTTTCAAGGACATTGCGGTACGCAAGCCTCGATCTTCAATATTTCTATTTAATATTAGTTCATTGTTCATATACTGTTTATTTATTAGCATACATTAATTTATCACAAATTGTTGACATATATCCAACAGAAACTAAGTGTCAAAATGTGTATCAAAACATGCGTCCCATATCCTTTACTCTCTTTATTGAAGGAACTCTGATGAGTGTGTTAGGTTCTATAATGGCAGCGTTAGAAGGCTTGGAGTTGTAATTGATATATGCTTACTAATTAAAATAAGAAATATGTTTGAGTAAATTATTGCGGGCGTCATGTTTGCATATGGGCAAAATATTTAGTCCAATCATTTTGAAATTAATATAATCGCTGTAAACGTTTTTCTATTACACCAGCTAGATAGAGCAAAAGATTAAATTTATTTTCTTAAGGATCTCTCACGACGGAAGTCCATGTTAATTTATATAATTTTTTTTAAGGTTAAAAAAGGAAAACTAATGAAAATGGCTTGAATATTTTGAGTTTTAATGATAAGGACAAAATAAAAGGTAAAGTGAATAGTACTATGATTAACTTTTTATTATAAAAATGTGATTTTTCGTTAAAGTGAACAGTATCGTGAGCTTTTTGTTAAAGTTCCCTTGTTTTTATTGCAATTTCAAGTTCATTTCTAACCAACATTAGTACATGTTATTCAGAGTTAAGGAGATAATTTTCAGTTGTGAATTATATTATGGGATGACGAATAAATTGACATTAAACTCACTATTTATAAAAGTCGAACTTAAAATCTCTCACTTATAAATAAATAGAAATAACACTAAAATAACTCATTTACAAATCACAAAAACTCGAATTGACATGCATGTAGGCATAGAGGGACATGTGATCATACTTATCGATGCAAATTTCCACCTTCCTTTGATTGACGAAACTACACCTGTAAAACAATCAACACTTTTGATCAAAGACCAAAAACCTCGCATGCCCACTATAAGATGGGGGAGATGTTTGGTCAAAGGAACTCCAATGCTTAGTCAGAAACTTTAAGAGAATGAGTGTTTAGTTTTTATGTATAGCAAAACGAGTAGAGGTGTTTTGAGCAGTCATGGTTCTTTGCTTGCTTTATCTCAACTGCACGTGGTGAATGAGAATGGTCTCTGCTCATTTAATAAAGGCAGTCTTGTGTTTATTGGGAAGTAATCCACGTGTCAGCTCCATGATTTTTAAGATTATTTTTTGCTCCACAATACTCATTCGCAATTTAACGTTTTTCTTTTTCGGAATGTTAGATGATTTACCCACATTTTAATGTTACAAACTTTAGGGTTTATTTAACGTCTGTGCACAGTGATCAGTAACAATAATTAGTTTTCTAGAACTACTTATGCATTTTTATTTTTATTTTTTATGCATTTGTATCAAAATCTTAAACTCTAATGTGAAAAGGTTCTACATGTATGTTCTAACACGGCTTCTCACTGTTAGTTGAAAAAATAAATGAAGAAAACCCCCCAAAGTTTCTCGTTTGTAACGCTTTTGGTGAGTTTCAGATTCAAGGCAACTCCTAAATTTCTAAATTGACGATCGAGGGCAACAAATTTGAAATTAATTTAAGATGTTGATTTAAACTGCTTGTGTTAGAGAGTTGTGTTCGATTGCCTTTTGGAAAAATAAGCCACAAAAACCATAAAATATTCAAATAAACCATCGCCAAATATATTAGAAAGTATATCAACAGATGTGTCAGTCTTTTATGTCCAAATATTTTTGACAAATGCTTTTACATTTATTATGAACGTTTAGATTTTACATCCAAATGTCCTAATTAAGTGTGTTGTGGAGACTTTTAATCATCAAATGACATGAATGATGATGTGAATTATAACTAATATAATAAATAAACAAATAAAGATTAAAACTTAAAAAGAATAACAACAGGGAATTTCTCTCAGACAACAAAAACCCAAGAAGCCTATTTGGCTCGTGTGGATTCGCAGTCAAAGTCTACCAAATCTTTGGAGATTGGGGGATGGAGATCCGCAGCCAAAGTCTACCACATCTTTGGAGAATGGGGGATGGAGATTCCTTTGAATTCCAGTGCTGTGATTAATTACTTTCCGTCACCTCAATTTTTTAGCATAATATTTTATAATATTAACATGAGAATTATACTAAAGAGATGAAATGACGAAGAGTTTATAGAGAGTCATACTTTTAAGTGGAAAACAAATGAAAACTCTGCAAACGTGAACAAGGAGGGAGGAAGCCATTTAGTGAAGTAAGTGATCACAATATACATGTAACATGTTAATAACATGGATTTTTTACAACAAAACTACAAAACAAATAACCATATATGCATGTAAAATGTAAAATGTTTGTCGCATGAATTTTTTACAACAAACTACAAAACAAATAACCATGTGATGTTTGGATGTTAAAATTTCACGAGGGAATTGTAAATGAATGAGGAAGACAAACCATATTTTCATCGCAGATAACATAAATTTTTGGGAATAGTATATATTCATGTTTGGATTTCCTATTAGCCCTTTCTTTTCATGGCATAGGTCATGTCCCATGTTATTCACGGCATCAAAGACAAAGATGAATTTTGTCAAAGGCAATATCGCATAACTTGTTGCTATTGTTGGAGAGTTGCAGACCTAACCGGCAGAAGAGGAAGATGAAGGCTAGATCTAGCTATTTTAACTTCACAAAATTCCTTTATCAAAATAAAAATATTTTATTTGAAGTCATTGCGTCATTTGGAAGTCATCTTAACTTCTAGTTAGAAGTGTCACATGTAAATGGATTCAAGAGCTTATAAAAATGAAAAAATATTTATTAAAATGTTTGTCTCTTGAATTTTATCCCATTAAATAATATATCGTCAAATATATTAGCGAGTATATCATCAACAAATGTGTCAATTTTTTATGTCCAAATATTTTTATTGAGATAACATTCCCTATATTAGTCTAAATAAGTATCTTAGAACAAAGATAAGCATTAAAATTTTTACAAACAAACTAGTGGTTGAAACAAAGTCAACGACCTCCCAATGAAAACAAACTAGTGGTTTACAAACTAACTAGTAGCCCCCAACTCTAGAAGCTATAAGCTATAAGCTAATATGAATGCAACAAACATGATTTTATACTTGGATTATTGTACCTTCCATGATGTGATGTCAAAATAGTAAATGAGTATTAAAAATTAGATAAATTAACGAAAAGTTAAAAAAAATTTAGCTTTAATAAAAAATAACAAATAAAGATATAGTAAATAGTACAAGTAAAAGGTAAAAATGTGATTTTTTGTTAAAAGTAAACAGTACACAAAGTGTTTCGTTAAAACTCCCTTAAAAATTTTGTAACATGATGTTTCCAACATTTTACTTGAAAACTTGACATGACTAAAATATTGTCACTAACATATAAAGGATCAGTTCAACATATTACGTATCTAGCTTCGCTCCATTTGTTTTGGACATGAGAACTCAGAACTAGCAGTTGACATTTTCTAGCTACAACATGATAAACGACTTCACGACTTATGTATTGTGAATATGAATCATATGTTCAAAAAGGAATTATTTTAATTGATAATCCAGATTAAAGTTTGGGTAAGATATAATAGGAATTATTTTTTTGTTTTAGGTGGTAAACAAACATGATCTTGAAAGTTTAGAAGGTGGTATTTGTGCAAGTTTTTTATATTTTATATTAGGGTAAAATGCACAAAACTACCTCAACTATGGATCGAACCACAATCTTATACCTCATGTTTAAAACATGACAATGTCATACCTCAACTTATGATTTTGTTGCAATGTTATCCATCCGTTAACTTTTCTGTTAAATGCTGATGTGACATGAGCGGGGCCCACTATTTTGCTAATTAGAATA